CTCCTCCTTCCCACATATACCGCATTCCTTCTTCTCCTCATCTGGAATTTACTCATCCTCCATTCGTTCCCTAATCCGAACCTAACTTTGTTATCTTTATCTTCTTGACTTTCCTTTCCTCTCGTAGGTACATACTTTCTTTCGTCCTAATTGATAGGCCGTCATTGATTCTAATGTTGTTCGCTTCAACACAACACGGAGCTCGACGTTTGAGTAGCGTAACCTGATCTATTGTATTCAATCGTCTATGAAAAATCACTAACTATCTATGAGACGATGATGGAACTTGTTTATCTTCGATTTTCTCGAATTTAATCATTTACCCACGTATTTGCGACATTCTTCTGATTAAAATGAGACTGAACATGATATAGTTTAAATCACAGTTACATGTATATGTAATAAACGAAAGGTTATTTCTGTTTTCCATTTACCATCTGCTCGTTCCTATTTTCCTTTAAATTTCTCTCTTGCCATTCTATGGCTCATGTTATTTCATTTTTCCCTATCAATGACCCTTCTGCACTCCTCAAGTAGTGAGTTTTCTGATCTTCTAATCTCTTCTTCATATCTTCATATTTTATGTACCTTTCTCCTGACCCCAGAGGTATTTTCTCCGTCTTCGTTTCTTGTCTAAATATCTTACTGTAGGTGTGCACCTCTCCAGTCACTAATACTGCTCTTAGATACCTTTCTTATTATACTGCTTCCACTTCTCTTCTTTCTTCTGTCCCCCATATTTCATTATACTCTTCATCATGACGTTAAATATCATAAGTCTTCTTTGTAATCTCCTCCAAATTTACATTGCCCGCATCCTCCAAATTTCCATCCTCCATACAGCCTAATTAACCTATTATTTACTTTATTTATTTACTTTATTATTTACCTTCTCGCTACCACTCGTCACACATATGTGATAGATTACATGTTTATACTATATACAAATTTTCCTTAGAAATTCAGATAAAATTTATAAGAAATTATCTTCACTATTTCTTTTGCGATTTCGATCAACTGCAATTTTTTCAAAAATCTTTTGCCACATCATCTAGTAAAATAATCCTCCTAACTTCTCAAAAAGGCTCGAGTCGTTTGATCCAATTTAAAAAAGTTATTCACTCTTTAACAGTGTGCCAATATTCTCGTGACCGCATGTATATTGTGTTTCAATTGTCTTTAGGACAAATCTTATTTTTTCGTTTGAGATACCATTTCTATTTATTATAAACAACGCCAAATTATCACTAATCTGACATTGCAACACATTATTTTCACTTATTTTAAATTTTTCTTCTCGATTGACAAAGATTGTACATAAAATTGTTTGGAACACATAGAATATCAGATTTTGTGCAAATAGTCACACGTATAACATGAGACACTGTAACACAACACTCGTAAATCGCTCGAACGGTCGACAGAGAAATGTAAACATGGAGGTTTCCGCCCTTGTTGAATCCGTCGTCGAAACTCGTTGACGACGACTTTGCCTCAGTAGCATCGTGTGCGTTAAGTAGGTAACAATACAATACCTTACATATCTAGATATGTGTGACAAGTAGTTTGCAGTAAGAAGCAATATACTCACAGCTCAACGTTACACATATGTGTGCGATTCTAAGAATCGTGTTGTCTACTTAGCAGGTTTTATTACTATATATGTAAAAATATATGTCACATTATGTAAGATTTAAAAATTTTGAATGTTGAGCTGTGAACAGTGACTTTTTCCTTAAACGGTGATAGTGAAAGCGTTAAGTAATACCTATAATATATACTCATAAAAACAGTATTCTATTTCTATTATATAATATAAACCAGTTTGACCTTGTTTCTGAGGCCCATTAGTAGTTTTTAGTTGCTTCTCCTTCTGTAATCAAAGTATTGTAATATATGTATTATATGTGTGATAATGAACATATGAACTAACATATTGGAAAGTGACGAAATATTGTAGATGAATTAAATGTAGTCACAAAGATCGTAAGAAAAATAGTTTCGTTTCCACAGGTCAACGCTTGTGGGAAAGTTGCCAGACAATCCGTAATAAATGAACTTAGGTCATGGATTTAGAAAATTTGATAATCTCATTGCTGCTGTTGTTGGTAGGCAGTGTTGGGCAAAATTTTGTGTATCTGTGAAATAACAAATAACAAACTAATATTTTAGTAGTAGCCTGTTTTAGGTTAGGTTTATGTTTAGTTTCGATATAAAATTAAAAGTACTTACAATTAGAATTGTTTGTGATACTTTTTTAAAATAATATTTAACTTTTAAGAAGCTTTTCAATATATGGAAATTTGAAAAGGATCGGAGATACCAAACAAATTGTCAAGTAATTACTTTAATTGTTTTACAAAAACCAGATCCATCTAATACTTACGTAGAATTATTTCCCTAGGAATTTTCTAGGATTTAAATTTCCCTCTCAACCGTATTTATACGCATCTTCGGCTGCGCAGCTTGCTCTGACAGCTATGCGTCATGGCGCCGGAGTAATTTTGTCGTTTGTTTCGTTTCACGCTATCTTCATGTTTCTTAATAATAAGAAGTAATATTCTCTTTCTTTGACGTGCGTGAATCATAGATCACTGTTTGTTGTGTCAACTAGTGTCTATATAGACATTTAATTGTTAAAATTTGAGAACTTCAAGAAGATTAGTGAAATGTGCCCGGTACATCCTCTGACGTCAGAGGCGGAAAATTAATGTGCTGAATGGTAAGTATTTATTTTGAAACACAACTAATTACATCGAGTGATCAACATGTGATTATAAGCAAATCTCCTCTTCACTTTTTGTTCTTCATTTTTCCAACGTACTTTATCGTAAAATATACTTGGACGATAATTTTGAAATTTCAAATTCGATTGAATCATAAACGAAATATTACAAAATTTCGAAATGATATATTCATGCGTAGATAAATAATAATCAGATAGATTATTCCGCATATAGATAACGACTACTGTATTACTTCCTTTTCTTTAATTTTCCCAACATTGCTGGTCAACCCTCGAGACATGACGCCATTTTTAAAATCTCGAAACTTTAACCCCTTTGTTTACTTTTTTTCTTCTCTTTCGCTAATAAGAAATCACAGTTTATTCATAGCCTGTGCTATGTTTCCCTCGAAATTTTCTCAACTACTTTATAATTACATATAGTTTAAAAATTTTAACTATACGACAATTCTAATGAAAATCGAAACTTGTTAAGAAATCGAAATTAATTAAAATCTATTGTTTGTTTAAATCTTGGATTAAAGAGTATTATGTTCCATAATAATTTATTATACTATAATTATTAATTCTTCCATTCCATTTACTTCTATAATTGTATTACTTAATTAAATTAACGTGCAATGTGTTGTCTATTATTTATATAAAATACGGAAGTTAACAACTACAATTTGATAAATTAATGTTTTGAAACGATTTCAAGCAATTATTATGGTATTATTTCAAATAGACTTAATTGTGTTCAAGCTTATCTGTTTAAGATAATTATATATAAAATATCTCTAACACTACAATTTATATTTAAATTATTATCTCTAAATATTTTGTTTGCATTTCTCATTACTTATAATTGCTTTTACGACTCTGCTATTATTTTGATTTTTTCTCTGTCTGTCATAGGTATACGGAATATACAATGAAAAATTAAAAAATATATGAAAAAAACATTGTAGTAATGTTTCTTTGTTATTGGAACGTTACATGGAATTCGATTTGGATATCTTAGGATTAAAAACACGAATGAAACACAAGGTTCACTGTTTTTACATTATAACTAGAATCATGTTTAATGGATTGTGACGAACAGTAAGAGATTATTTTGGAGGTCAATCGTTCGTGTATATCTTTGATACATTATGCAACGTTTCAGATTGATGCTTATTGCCACGTGGTTATTCTCTTGCCGGTCATTTCGTATCATTATTTACGAGAATTTTACAATCATTTCATTTTACAAGAAATACATCAACCGGTGCGTCGTATAATATCTAACAATTTCAACATTTTTTAAACAAATATTCTTATTATATATGCCTCGTATTGATTACTTAAAATTAAACGCATAAAGTAGGTTCAACTTTCGTAATTAATGTCGAGGAACGTCAGCCTATTGATAAAGTGCAAAGTTAACGATGCAAGTACATGTAGTTTGTCGACATGTAGCCACATCTTTGTTCCTATAAATAAATGACGAGAGCCGCGTAGTCTCGGTTTATCACTTCAGTGCATACTCTTATGCAAGCTTTACCGCGTGGAAAAATCAATAATCACCTGCGACGTCTCTACCTAAGATGTTACGTCAGAACTTTTGGTAATTTTATTTTCGATTGTTGCACCATAAATTAACCGTAATCAGAGATCAAAAGTAACATTTATTTTTACAATTTTTATGGGGGGGGGGGGGGG